CGCCCTCGACATCACCAGGGTCATCGTGACTGGTCTTATAACGCGATGCACCGCATACCGGGCAAGCATTCAAATCCTCGTACTCACCGCGATAGAGGATGCCGTCATTAGGGCATGCATGTATCTTTTGCACCTCTAACCCTAGAGGGCAGACAGCCTTCTTTGCTTCATACGTACTCTCGGGCAAGTCGTTGTCCTTTGGAAGCATATTCTTTATCATTACCAGCAACTTTTCAAATCCCTTGTCAGATATACCATTCTCTGCCTTCCATTGCAGCAATTCTAGTGTGGTGCCCAACTTTTTTTGTCAGCTTCGCAATTCGGGTACAACAATTTCTTGTGATCCTCTAACATGTGCTGCAACTTCTTCTTCTCCAAATCACTTGCGCAGTTTCTCTTTGCATCGGCAATGGCCCGACCTAGATCATCAGCGGGCTCATCTGATGCCTCTTCTTCAGCTTCTTCCCGCATTGCCGGATCAACTTCTTCCCCCATTGTTGTATAATCGTATTCAGGGAACCCATGGCCAGGATAGCCGTCGTCGTCCTCTTCTTCTTCATTGTCTTCCATCATAAACCCTATTTCTCCGTGCTTGGTCCAAACATTATAGTGGGGCATGAAACCGGACTCAAATAGGTGGACGTGAATGGTTCTTGACGTAGAGTAATTGTGACCATTCTTACAGCCAGCACATGGACAAGGCATAAAACCATCCGCCCGCTTGTTTGCCGCAGCGGCAAGCAGAAAAGTATGCACGCCATTAATGAACCCGGGAGAGCATCGGTCATCATACATCCATTGTCGGCTCATCTTCATTACACAACACCGAATAGACCAAATTAATACAAGTTCATACATAAAGTTCATATACAACACTTAATTAAATGCAACATACAAATAACTCTCTAGCTAAAGAATTTAAATGCAACAACAAATGCGATCAAGATCGCAACTAAGGTAACAATTGATCCAACAGCATAATTACACCAAGCCACACTATCAATGGCATATTTTCTAATCTTTCTAATCTTCAACCTCATTTTCTCCATCTTGATCTTGTGGTCATCGACGACATCGGCAACATGCAACTCCAATTCCATCTTCTCCCCCTAAATTCTTTTCAATTTTTCTTTCAAATACTCGTTTCTCTTTCAACTAAATTTAACCTCTCGACAATAGGGTCGGTTGGAATTTCCAGTTCACATACCTCCTAGATAAAACGAAATGCAACAACTAGTTTTAAAAGAGAATATACCACATCCGAATCATAACAAGGACGAGGGCCGACGGGGACGGATATCAAAATCATGGCACTATGTATAACAAACAACGTACGGGTAAGATAATTATACGAGTAACTATATATCAAATCACACAAACATCAATTTGGTAATGTAAAACATTCATGAACAAGAGCCTCACCACAAGGTGGTGCCGGCGACGGGACGGTGCGGGCGATCGACGGTGGTTACGACGGAGATTTAGAAGGCACTAAGTAAACCACACCTACATATGCAAACTAAGTGTTATTTTTGACCTCAAATTGCATATAAATCAAATACTAGCACATATAATTCCTCCCAAATTACTAAACTCACAAATTAATCACTATACAAAGCATTGCAAGAGCTAATCTAGCAATGACAGATGAAAGGACAAAGTTGCTAACCTTCGTGATCATTTGAATGGTTGGGGGCCTTCAAATCTTGACAAATTTTCGGCAAATTTTTTGATGAGATCGAGGAAGAGAGGGGAAGAACAGAGGAAGTGAGGGGAAAGGGGAAGAACAGAGCGAGCTCGGGTGGACGAAGGGTTTATGTACGACGATCTTTAGTACCGGTTCGTGCCACGAACCGGTACTAAAGGTGCTGGAGGGGCCCAGACTGACAACATCCTGCCACCACTCTCTTTAATACCGGTTCGTGGCACGAACCGGTGCTAAAAGTTCGCCACGAACCGGTACTAATGAGAGCGGTCGGCTAGCCGTTGGAACCGGCACTAATGGACACATTAGTGTCGGCTCAAAATCAAACCGGCACTAATGTGTCTCAGATTTGCCCCTTTTTTACTAGTGTACCGATGCACTTGAATATTGCTTGGAAAACATGAATGGATATGGTTCATGGAAGTCGGTGCATATATGCTGGAATACTTATTATACTGAATACCTGTTTTCCCGGGCACAACATAATATGGAAATCTAGGTTGTTCATGGGATTGGCTCAATGAACTTATAAATCCTGCGAATTTCTAATTCAGTGTGCGACTCACATGTATGTGCTTATGGGACATATTGCAGACGAGACTCCTTGATAGTTACTTCCTCTGTTCCATAATGTAAGACATTTTTTGGCACTAGAGTACTAATGATCGTGGTTGGTTAAGTTAACATGTAGTCTTTATTTAAACAGATTGTATTTGGGCATTTATCTGAAATTTTATACCGTTTAAAATTAACTAGAATAGCACATTTAATGGTCTCTAACCCCTACCATTAAAGATTATTATGAGCAGAACCATGGAAAAGGATCGAGGAATAGGGTTTAGACCGTGTGCGTATATTTCTTACACCGATGCGGACCAAAAGAAGGCTGAGAGCGGTACACAAAGTCGAGAAAAAGATGTTGGAAATATGCCCTAGAGGCAATAATAAATGTATTATTATATTTTTCATGTTGTTATTAAATTTATGTTTCTATGCTACAATTATATTGGTTCTTGAATATGAGATTCAAAGGAAAACCCAAATACATATGTGAAAATATAATCACCAAGTGATCAGTAGTCTAGCCTCGCAGACTAGCTCATATGTTAATGATGATCTTGTTTTTCTGATCATGAGCATTGTTAATGTAGCAAGGATGCTATCAATATGTGGGATCATCGTTGTCATGATAACAACATAGTTGGATAGACCCAACTTATGAATTACCGAGAGATATCAACGTTGTTATGTTATTGGTACTTGATATAACTTATTCACGTTTGCATTGTTCGTTAGACCATGAGAATATTGCATATCAACATGCCGGATGGATATTTTTGGGGTTTCCACATGTCACACCGTAAATAGATGTGAATAAAGGTGACTTACGGGTCTACCGGAAACATATGTCTCGGTAACGATAGTTGAAGACTGTGATTTGCTCCTCTCACGATAGAAAGATACTCTCTAGGCGCACTCAGTGTTATGGTGTCATTATTGTCTAGCCAGACACTTGTGATTATGATCATTGGATACCGGAACACGAACATGAGTAAAGAGAATGAAACCGGTAACGAGGATAACCGGTATAGTGATCAAGGAGATGATCATGGGAATATTGATAATCTATCCTTGGGTTTCATAAACGTACCGCGAAGCAAAGGGAATGGTATTCATAAACAAAGGTTCGCTCTAGAACTTCATGAATATGCGGGAGCTAATAAGGGTGTCCATATCCCACTGTTAACTATTGACCGGAAGGGCTTCCGGGTCATGTATGCTTATTTTCGAAACTGTAGGGTCACACGCTTAACGGGTTCTATTCCTGATTACTGGAGAAAAATGAGAAATTAGTTAAAAGAGCACCAAAAGAGTTTCAGATAGTTGTGAAAGCGTTTCTATTGTTCCAGAAGGGGTCATCGGAATGGGTTCCGGAGACATCCGAAAAATCCAGAATTTTATTTGCGGAAGAAAAGTGTGAAGGACCATCATGAGATGACGTCCCCTAGTGGGCCCGCGGGAGGCCACATGGGGCGCCATGGGCTTTTGTAGGCCCTAGGTGTGATTGTGTAGCATATTTTTTTTGTGTAGCACGTTCCCCTACAAAAGACTCAACGAGGCAACACCACGCCAGCCCTCGTAGCGCACGCCAGCCGGGTCGAGGCTCTCATGCGATGGTGCGACAATGATCCTGCTTGCCTTGCGGGGCTCGAAGAAGAAGAAGAAGTCGGCCCCCTCTCCAGTTGAGTCGTCGCTGAAGAAACCAAGGTAACTCTCGTGCCAACTTGAATGCATTTTTGTCACACGGAAATCATACTCAATTGACATATCTGTACCTTTCCCTCCGCGGGACGGGGAACCCTGGGGAGGTGAGGGGTGGTGCACGGTGGCTACGTAATTTGCCTTAGCTACACTCTTCACCCCCTAAATTCAACGCAAGTGGGCCCCCTCCTCTGATTTCCTCTAACCAAACATTGAATCCATTACGTAAATCACGTAGGAATTGCTATGTAGGTGTAGCATTGCTCGGGGTTGCGCAAGGTGTGGTCCGACTCGAGGGGGAAATGCACCGAGGTGAGGGTCTCCTTCCCTCCTTGAATATCTAGTCCACCTCTTGTTTCATTTCTCTTCTTAATCTTGATCCGTCTTGGCAAAATAAAACTATAGTTTTGGAGAGTATTCCAGTCTTTAAGACCACAACATTCATTGCATCAGAATGCAACAAAATATCCAATAACTCATTTTTTGGGGGAAAACAATAGTGCTCTATGAGTACTTACAATATAATTTGATACCAATATCCCTCTGGGTGTCTTTTCGGAGAACCTATACCATGGATATTGAACCATTTTTTCATTGGAGAAAGGATGGCAAGGTATATTGATTGCTATCATATTTGCAAAATAGAACATTTATTTTATCAAAATAAACTGTATTGCTTGCTGTGGGATTTTGTGCAACCAACTTTTAGAGAATTTCATTAAGTATCTGTCAGGAGAGTAAGTATATAGTATGTGATGATGTTTCATATCTGAAACTTCATAAACCTTAAATGATTTGCTTCAAGTTACATATTTGAAATTTGATGAAACTGTCGAAAACTTGATAAATGCATATGAGATAGTGTAATACACAAGCCTGTCTTTATTACAAATAAAAAGGTAGCAGCGAGTCATGAATTTTTCATGATAATGTAGACCACTTTCTATCTTAATTGAAAGACATATGTGTTATCGTAGCCTGGTCTAGAAATGTTGACTCGTAGGACGGGTGTGTATTCATCCACGTCATGGTCTCATGGATAGAGTTCAATAATTTGTCGAAGCCCCTTGGTTGGTGTAATCTTATAGTCAGTGAATCCGGCTTCAAAGAAAATCTTCTTCCACTCGTGGTCCTCTCGCTCAATTCCATTGATGTTCATGATGTAGACGTCGAACAAAACCTCAGTCTCTTTGGAGATGATTCCCTGCGATGACCTTGCTGACCCAACCACAGCATCGATGATTATCACCTTTCCTCCTGCGTCCCTTGATGGGATTGCTTCCTTGCATCGTCGCAATATCTTCACACAATCTCCATCTTTCCAGTCATGCAGAATCCACTACAACAACATCACCCGAGTTATCTATATTACGTATAAAATCATGGAGTAAATACATGCTACTCCCTCCGTCACGGTTTAGAAGGCGCGCTTGGAAATTCTCTGGGACCTAGGTGGTTATCTATTGGTTGTGAGATGGGCTAAAAAATAGGATTCACATTACGCATGCATATAGAAATAGTATATCGGAGTACTAATTAGCTACTAGAAATAAATGCAATGCATCTTAAACCTTGTCTATTGTGGAAACACACGCAAATTCAACTGTGTCTTCTAAACTGTGACGGAGGGAGTACTAATTCTGTAGCCACATTGATTAATTACTTCCTCCGTTTAAAAATATAATTATTCCTTATTAGGTCTCATTAGTACAAACCTATAGCCAACAATTACATTATTGCTCCATACGCTTCCTCTTTTAATATATGTATAAATATTTTTTAAATGCACATTCAATATTAAGTTTAACCAAGTTTAGTTAAACAAATACCGACATATAGGTGTTTAAATGAACTCGGTTAAACATCACACCGTTTGAGTTTGCCCGAAATTTATACATCTAGAGGAACAACAAGAGTAGTATAGAGTCTTGTGACGAAGTCATAATTAACCATAAGTAAATATTTTTCAAATATAGGAATCTAATTAACGTTCTTTACTAGTAAGGTTAAATTTGTGATGGTTCATCAAAAAAAAAACTTCCTTCATCTGTAATTACTTAAAGTTAAATTTCATAAAGTTTGACAAAATGTATGGAAATAAATATTTAATTTTATAATATAATCATTCATATAGTATAAAAATATATCTTATAATTAATCTTTCGTTACAATGCCCTCCATTGCTAAATTTAAGCCTTTTTAGTGATTTTAATAAATACTACATATGGATGTATATACATGCATTTTAGAGGGTGGAGTCATTCATTTTGCTCTGTATGTAGTCCATATTAGAATATGTAAAAGACTTTATATTTAGGAATGAAGGGAGTAGATGTTGACATTTTTTATATAGGCTTGGTCAAACTTTTTACAAAGTTTTATTTTGACTAAACTAAGCTTAGAGGCTATTTGTGGGCGCAGGGAGTATCCATATGATCCCGAATCAACGGAGAAGGCATCTCACGGGTACTGTGCGAGTAAAATCTACAGTTTTGCTAAGTCTCAGTTGACTTAAACTTCGTTATGTCTCAGTCCACGCTATATTCATTTGATCTTGCATGAAGATTCTTACATGATTTTTTTTTTCAGTTTTTTTTCTTCTTATTCTATATATCATTTGAGTGAGACTTGATTAAGTCTCTGAGATCTAGCCACACCCACCTACTTAATATGCTTTGTATTTGAGTTGGGGAGTACACGTACCTTGAGTAGAACAACGTCGGCGGGTGGGATGTACTCAAACATATCGCCGGCGACGAATGTCACGCTTTCATGGGCCGGAGCAGAAGCGACGACGTGAGGGAGATCCAGCACGCTGCACTTGAGATGTGGGAACGCACTTGCGACGGCGGCCGCCGTGGCACCATGGCCGCCGCCGACGTCCACTAGCGAGCCCCTCACGGCCCTTAACACGCTTGCTCCGCACTCCGTGAGGAGGTTCTTCACTGTAAAGCGGCTGTCGGCGTCCATGGCAGCTTGGAAGGCGGTGCCGGTCGTGGGGTCCGACGCCGCCATCTCCCACAACGTGCGCCCATTTGCCACCTCGAAGAGCGACACGGCCGTCGCCTGCTCGTCGGTGAACCACTCGCGCATGTCTGAGAGCGCCGCCACATAGTGCGGGTAAAGGAACCCTACCACCATGGGGGACAGGCCGCCCGAGACGAGGAGACGAGACACGCGGGTGAGCTTGTAGCATGCGGCGTCGCCGGAGCCAGAGACAGAGAAGACACCGGAGGTGGTAAGCACTCGCATGAGCCGGCGAAGGTTGGGGAGCTTCGTTGGGTGGATGCCGATGTCCGTGGCGAGCTCGGAAGGGGTGGCGCCACCCCCGCCGCGGCTGTGGATGGCATCGGGGATGCCGAGGTCGATGGCGGCCTTGAGCGCCAGCGACTTGACGAAGGCGAGGCCGTGGTGGTACAGCTCCAACTGAGCTTCGAGCAACTCGTCGCTGCTCATGGCGAGCTTGTCTTCTAGTTGGACGAGCGCTGCCATGCTAACGTGTGTAATGTACTACTAGCTAGCTTAAGCGCGTTGTAGCGTCTATGCGCGTTGTCCTTGATTTATACTCCTGCTACGATACTTTCCTACCAGTTGGCTTGTACACCCTTCGATTTTAAAATATAGTGTGTCCTCGGTTCTCATGCTTCAACTTTAATCATAAATTTAATCAACGAGACTAACTGTGGCGGGAACAAAAATTATATCAACGAATTTGTATTCAAAAGAAGTTTTCAGTTATATAAATTTTGCTCCCGCCGCAGTCGATTTCGTTGATTAAATTTATGGTCAAAGTTAAATCTCAGAAAACGCAGGCGCACTATATTTTAAAACGGAGAAAATAGTATAATGCATTATTTGTCGGTCGCCCGGGAAATATGAGACGCTGACAATAAAAGTGCACACGGGCCAACTGAAAACGGGACAATACATGCACTTTACTCCCAAGTCCCAACACGATTTCTACACTAGGCTAGGCTAAGGAAACAGTTCTCTCAAGGACCCAGGCTCGAGGACGAATCTCCCGCTGCTGCTTCATCCATATATAATCGAGGACGAATCTCCCGCTGCTGCTTGGTCTTCCATAGAGTATCTCAAACACGCGTCCCGAAAGTGTCTCGCGTGTTAAAAACTAGCGTTTTTGTAAAGTAGTGCGTGCTTAAAAAAATCTTTAGCACACGCCTGTGTGCGCGGGCTGCGGGGCTGTAAATTTGGGACGTTGAATTATACGCGCTGGGTGCTGCAGGTGAGGCCGCTGCGTTGGGTGTTGTGTCTTTGTGCTTCTGGAAAACCTACAAGCATCTCCAACAATGGCAACAAATATCGCGCGTGCGCTGGAAACAACTGGTTTAGCGCGCTCCAGCGGGCGCGCGGGTCAGGCGCGCTCCATAAAACGCGCGCGCCCGAGCCGTCAACCGCACAATCGAGCCCCGCCGCCCCCTTCTTCCCCCGCCGCCCTCTTCTTCCTCTGACCCAACGCCCCGCTGCCGCCGCTGCGCCCTTCTCCCGACACGCTCTCCCCCGCCGTCGACATGCCGCCGCGCCGCTGGAGCAGCTCCGGCTACTTCGGCGTCCGCGTCCGCCCTTCCAGCGTGTTCTAGCGGAGATCCGCTCCGATGGCGCGCGTCTCGATCTTGGGATGCTCGAGACCGCGCACGAGGCCGCCCGTGCGTACGACGCGGCGGCGTTGCGCCTCTCGAGGCCACGTTCGCAGATGAACTTCGACGACGTGTGGACGTGCGAGTAGGTGTAGGAACTCGCGCCTCCACCGCAGCTAGTAACCTACGCCGACCGTCAGGAACACCGTAGGTGGCGGCGCCGCCTCCTAATCGCTGAGGCGGACGAGCAAGCCATGACGGAGTGGCGCCAGCGCTACCCGCAGGACGTCGCCAATGAGAACGCCTTCTGGGCGGAGAGGAGGGCAAAGCGGCGCGAGGAATGGGCGGACAGGCGTCGGTGGAAGGCATTGGCGATATCGCAGTGCAAACTGGGACATGCGTCATTCTTTGATGACAACAATCCTCAGTGGGAAGACGTGTTTCTTGATACGTCGGACGACACCAGTCAGGATGATGAGAACGACTCGAAGTAGTTTCACCGTAGTTTTTATCTATTTTAATTTTATGGACTAGTTTGTGTTGTTTGGTTGAACTATGCCATTTGTATCGTTGAACTTTTTCTATATGTTGTTTCAAATATCGTCCGTACGTATTCTGGTTGCTCGTGCGCGCTGATTTTTTGCAGCGCCTGTTGGAGCGGTTCATGCGCACAATATTTTGCAGCGGTCGCTGGAGCCAGTGCTCTGCAGCACATAAAAAACCGCAATTTCCGTGTTGTAAATATTGTTTTAGCATGCCACGCGTTGCGCGCCTGCTAGAGAGATGCTATTAGGAAAGAGCAGTGCTGCATGCATGGCACTGGACAGACAAAATGCAGACGATTTAACGTATCCCACCGTCAAAGTCCAAGGCAAAACAGGTCCAGCGGTTGGATTAGCTACCGTACATGTAGCACAATGTTGGTCATTCCATTACAGCTTCCTAAGAACATCTCTAGCAGATCCCGTATAATGCCGACCAGCAAAACGCGTTTACAGTTCGCTCAAAAATGGATTTACGGGTCGACGCAGGCTGCGGCCGAGCAGACCCCGCGTAGCCGACCCGTAAAAGAGCATATTCTGAGGGACGGCTTGGAGGCTTCCATGGCGAGGAAGATGGACCGGAGCGGGCGGTGGCGGGGCAATGGCCGCCGGGGGATGGGGGAGGGGGGCAGGAATGGTCGCGCGGACATTTTCCTCGCGCCAAATCTCATTGCGGATAGGGGCCGAGGTCGGGTCGGCCTCCCACCCCGTGAATCTAAAGGTTGAGGGCGAACTTTTGCCGCGTCCCGCAAAACTTTTTACGGGTTGGACGCGTTTGCGGGGTCTGATCGGGCAGCATTTTCCGCATGGACCCGTATTTTAACGGTTATTTTACGGGTTGCGGCATTATACGAGGTCTGCTAGAGATGCTCTAATATCTGCCCGCGGATGGCATTCCTCCGTGTCTCGGGCTTCAGTATCTTTGGTGTGTGCCATTTACCAATGCCTAGCTATACTTGGCTAAATATACTCACTAGTGAAGTAGTAACTTCCGGTACATATTCTAAACACAGAAAGGGAAAATGCTCCGCCATGGTTACGGCTGATGACGACGCCTCTGTATATACAGATGACGCCCCTTGAAGAATCGATGCCACCGACTGTTCCTGCCTACGGATGGTTTCGAGCTGGATCTGTACTTGTTCAACCAATTGAAACTAACAAGTCAACTATCCAACCTTGCAACAGCTCAGCACTGGTTATTCTTTTGCTCCCTATGTAAACTTTTAGATTCAAATGATTTTATATTTGTTTACAGAGACAGTATTAGTTGACGTACAATAACAGGGACAACTAACTGAACTTTTTTGCTTGACGTACTAGTTGACAGCACCCCACCAAGGCATTGTTAATTTTTGGACGCGGCTAACTGCCACACATGTGGCATATTAGCCATCCGCTCACATATTGTGTGTGGCATGAGTAGGAGGCAGCCCACACGGATTATATGTGCGCGAACATTAGAATTGCCACACGTGTGGGTGCAGCTACTTCGTGTCACACGTCCAACAAAGTACTACTCATTTTCACCCAGCGCATGTGCCACGAAGCAAAAATACCCACATATCCTGACGCAGCTACGTTAGGTACTCTGGCGGGATGACGATTCAGTTGCCATCCGGGATGGCAGATGTAATTATCCGGGGATGGCAAATGTAGTTGTAAAAGCATGACAACTCTATCTGTTTTGGTTAACTATAGTTGCCATGTCTAATTTATGGTAGTTGCCGCTTGTAACCAAATAATAGTTGCCGTGTGTGATTAACTACTTGCCCCATATGATCAAACAGTGCCATGTGTGTTTACCTAGTTGCCATGTGTGGCCCAAACATAATTCTCATGTATGGTTAATCACAGTTGCCATGTGTGTTTATCTGGTTGCCACGTACGCGCAACTGCAGTTCCCGTCTTGCAACGAATCATAGTTATCATGTGCCTAGTTGCCACATACGCGTACTGCATTTGCCATCCAACAACGTACGGGTATCGTGTGAACGAAATCAGTTCGCCCACAAGCGCGTTGTCACGCCCAATATGCGACCATATCCAAAAGGAACTCGAAGGTCCCGCCAAGGATAGACCCGCATATTGAAACGCTTTTGCAAGGTGGATATCATTACATCAATATTACATAATAGATACGGATACATACAAAAGGCATACAATGCCACACGAATACAGCATCACAATACATAAGAGCATCATCCGACTACGGATGAAACACAAACAAAAACTCAAACGACATCCACCCTACTAGCCCAGGTTGCCGACCTGGAACCTATCCCCTGATCGAAGAAGCAGAAGGAGAACTCCAAGACAAGCACACATCGCTCTCGCGTCATGATCATCGCATAACATGTACCTGCAACTGTTGTTGTAGTAATCTGTGAGCCACGAGGACTTAGCAATCCCATTACGATGGGTATCAAGACTAGCAAAGCTTAAAGGGAAAGGAAGGGGTAAAGTGGTGAGGTTGCAGCAGCGACTAAGCATATATGGTGGCTAACATACGCAAATAAGAGCGAGAAGAGAAGCAAAGGAACGGTCGTGAAGCTAGCAATGATTAAGAAGTGATTCTGAACTCCTACTTACGTCAAACAAAATCCAAAACCGTGTTCACTTCCCGGACTCCGCCGAGAAGAGACCATCATGGCTACACACGCGGTTGATGCGTTTTAATTCGGATATGGTGTCAAGTTATCTACAACCGGATATTAACAAATCCCCATCTGCCCATAACCGCGGGCACGGCTTTCGAAAGTTTATACCCTGCAGGGGTGTCCCAACTTAGCCCATGATAAGCTCTCGCGATCAACGAAGGATATACCTTCTCCCAGGAAGACCCGGTCAGACTCGGAATCCCAGTTTACAAGACATTTCGACAATGGTAAAACAAGACCAGCAAAGCCGCCCGATGCGCCGACAATCTCGATAGGAGCTACACATATCTCGTTCTCAGGGCAACACCGGATAAGTCAAGCTACGAGTAAAACCAGCCCTCGAGTTGCCCCGAGGTGGCCCCGCAGGCTGCTCAGTTTGGACCAACACTTAGACAAGCACTGGCCCGGGGGGGCTAAAATAAAGATGACCCTCGGGTTGGCCGACCCAAGGGAAAGGTATAGGTGGTGGTGAGGCAAATGGTAAAACCAAGGTTGGGCCTTGCTGGAGGAGTTTTATTCAAAGCGAACTGTCAAGGGGGTCCCATAAATCACCCAACCGCATAAGGAACGCAAAATCCGGGAACATAACACCGGTATGACGGAAACTAGGGCGGCAAGAGTGGAACAAAACACCAGCATAAGGCCGAGTCTTCCACCCTTTACCAAGTATATAGATGCATTAATAATATAAGAGA